TTCTCACTTTCTATCTCTCTGTCTGTCTCTGGCTGGCTGGCGAGCACACACGCCCTATAGCAAAAACCTCTCAAAAAAAAAAAAAAAGAAAAGAAAAAGAATTTGGGGCATGCAGACACACATGCCCAGCATGTTTCTCATCCCATCAGGGCTGGGATTAAAACCACAGTCAACTGTGTGGATTCCAGCTCTCTTACCCATCAGACTCCAAGACTGAGCCTCTTTTTATCTTTTGCAATATAAATATTTATGATTATAAAAATTTCTCTCTAAACAGTACTTTGGCTGCATCCCATAATTTTTGGCATGTTGTGCTTTTATTTTCATTCATCTTAAAAATATTTTCTAATTTCCCATGTGGTATCTATTACCTTTAGGTGGTTTTTGTTTTTGTTTTTTGCTTTTTTTTGAGGTTTTTGCTATAGGGTGCATGAGCTCGCCAGAGACACAGAGAGAGACAGAAGACAGAAAGCGAGAAATCGCCCACCAGGGAGGATGACCACGTTGCAATCTGTTCTCCCCAATTCTCTTGTCGGGATTTTGGGCACACATACACAAGCACCCAGCGTGAGTTTTAAGCCTGCAGGTGCCCTGGTCAACTACATGGGAGTCCAGTGATGTAACCATTATTCCATCTGCTAAATCACTTTTCTTTTTCTTCTTTCTTTTTTTTTTTTGGAGAGGTTTTTGCTATAGGGCGCGTGCGTTCGCCAGACAGAGAGAGACAGAGACAGAAAGCAAGAAATCACCCCCCAGGGGGGATGGTCACGCCACAATCCCTTCTCCTCCATTCTCCTCTCGGGATCTTGGGCATGCACGCACGCGTGCCTGGCGTGAGTTTTAAGCCACCGGGTCTGGTACACGAACCATGGTCGAGGGAGTCCAGCGACATAGCCATTACATTAACTGCTGGTTTCCTTTTCTTTTTTTTGAAGAGGTTTATAGCTATAGGGCACATGCGCTCGCCAGAAAGACAGAGAGAGACAGAGAGACAGAAAGCGAGAAATCATCCCCCAGGGGGATGGCCACATTGCAACCCCTTCTCCGTTTTCCTTCTGGGATCTTGGGCACGCACGCACACGCGCCCGGCATAAGTTTAAGCCACCAGGTACAGGACTTGAACTGTGGTCAGACTACATGGGAGTCCAGCGACATAGCCATTACGCTAACTGCTGGTCCCAACTAAATCACTATTTTTGTTTTTCAAGACAGATTTTTGTTATAGGGTGTGTGCACTCGCTGGAGACACAGAGAGAAACAAAGAAAGTGAGAAATCATTTCCCAGGTAATAGCCATGCCATAATCCCTTCTCCATTCTCCTCCTGGGATTTTGGGCATGCACATACACGTGCCTGGCATGAATCTTGAGCCTCTATGTCTGGGACTCAAACTACAGTCAGCCAAGTGGGAGTCCAGTGCCTTAACCACTACACTACTGTTGACCCCAACCCTATGGTTCTTTAGGAGTGTATAGCTTAATTTTCACACACTTGTGAATTTCACACACTCCTATTTAACTGATAATGTTATTCCATTGTGGTCTGAGAAGATATGTTATGTAATTTCAGTCTTTTTAAATGTATGGTGACTTGTTTATGGCCTAGCATATTCTTCCCTGGGGATTGTTCCCTGTGTACATGAGAATATGAATTCTGCTGTTGTTGCATGGAGTGCTCCACAGATATCAGTCAGGACTTTGCCTGACTTGTCTGCTTGACTTGCACACCTGTGACTTTTTTTAGAATTTCTTTCATGGGGGCCAGCAGGTGGCTTGGTAGTTAAGGGTGCTAGGCTCTCACATGGCCAACCGTGGTTTGAATCCTGTCCTGACAGCTTGCTTTCTCACTTTCCCTCTCTCTCTCACTCTGTCCCTCTCTGGATAAATTAAAATAAATACATAGTTAAATAAAATAATTATTTAAAACATTTTTTTCTTCCATGAATCAGAGAGCACCCCAACAGGACCCCAGTCCTAACCAACCCTGAATCATTGGCACATGTGTGCTCAGTATACTCAGGAAGTCTCCTGACATGAACCCGGAAGCCTCATGTATGGGTCAGCCTCCCAGAGCTTCGTGTTTTACTGCTGTGCTACTGTCCAGTCCTATGCCTTTTCTTTATTTTTAAAATTTTGCAAGAGGGTGTGTGTCTCACCACAGAGAGAGAGAGGGAGAGGGAGAATGGTCATGCTCCAATCCCTTTTCTTCCATCTCCCCATCCTAGTGGAATTTTCTTTCCTTATGGGGTGCATATAAATGGGGAGAGACAGAGAGACAGAAAGACAGTGATAGAGGTAAAATAAAAAATCACACCCCCCAGGGGGGATGGCCACACCACAATCCCTTCACTCCATTCTCCTCTTGGGATTTTGGGCATACACACACACATGCCTGGCATGTTTTTCAAGCAGCCAGGTCCAGGACTTGAACTGTGCAGTCACCCATGTGGGGATGGCCACACCATAATCCCTTCTTTTCCATTCCCATCTCAGCATTTCAGGCATGTGCCTTGCATATTTTTCAAGCAGTCAGGTCCAGGACTTGGACTGTGTAGCCAGATCAGCCATCTGGGATTGTCTGCCTTAACCATCACACCACAGAGCCTACCCATGATTTTTATTTTAAAAGAATGCCACCTTTATAGGGGATAGTTCTGTCCCACAGTCATAATCTCTCTTCTATTTTCTCTCTCTCTTTTTTTTCCTTTTGCTATAGGCACATGTGTTTGCTAGAGACAGGCAGAGACAGAGAGGGAAAGTGAGAAATCACCCTCCAGGGGTAATGGCCACACTGCAATCCCTTCTCTTCTTCTCCTCTTGGTATTTTAGGCATACACACACATGGCATGATTTTCAAGCCACTGGGTCTGGGACTTGAACCATGGAGTAAGCATGTAGCAGTTGGCCAACTTGATCTTTATGCCATGTGCTGGCCCCTCATCCCTTTTTTTGTTTTTGTTTTTTTGCTATAGAGTGTTATGTGCTTGACAGAGAGACAGAGAGAGGGAAAGTGAGCAGTCAACCCTAGGGGGGATGGGCACACCACAATTCCTTCTCCTCTCAGGGTTTTGGGGACTCACGCACACATACTTGGTATGATCTTCAAGCCACTGGGTCCAGGGCTTGAACTACAGTTCGCCATGTGGGAGTCCAGTGCCTTAACTACCATGCTACCTGCTTGCCCCCCTTATCTTATTTAAATATAAAAGCTGAGGAGTTTTCTAGGGCAGTGGAGCTGATCACTAGAATTTATCTAGATTTCTCTGGGGCATTTTCTCATTCTCCAGCGGGTCATCTTTATCAGTATTATAAACCCAAAGTAGGACAGAAAGAGATCAAAGAGTAATAAATGTCTCCTCTCTGGTTTCCTATGGGAGTTTGTCTGTCACAGGGAAATGTCCTTGATAGAGATGAAGTTCCCTTATAGCAGTCAGGATCCAATGGAAAATAACAAAACAAAGGAGACGAAAACAACTCCTGAGACCTCTTACTGTCATCTCGGAATGAATATAAGGTCAACATAATGCCAAGGGCAGAGATGTTAAGAATGTCAGCTGTTTGGAACCAGCAGATGGCATAATGGTTACATCACTGAACTCCCACATGGCCCACTGAGGTTCAAGTCCCAGACCTGGCAACTTAAAAATTCATGTTGGTATTTCTAGCTTTCTCTGTGTGTGTCTCTCTCTCCCCAGTGAGCACACACACCCTACAGCAAAAATCTCTCTTAAAAAAAAAAAAAAAGAAAAAGAAACTCCGCGGTAAGCACAAGCGCCCCATAGCAAAAATCTCTCTTAAAACAAAAACAAAAACAAAACAGGTTAGCTGGGACCAGCAGATGGCATAATGGTTACATTGTTGAACTCATGTAGTTGACCACAGTTCAAGTCCCAGACCCAGTGGCTTAAAACTCAAGCCGTGTGTGTGTGTGTGTGTGTGTGTGTGTGTGCGTGTGTGTGATTTCTCACTTTGTCTGTCTCTGTCTTTTGAGTGAGCGCATGTGCCCTTCAGCAAAAAAAAACTCTCCAAAAAAAAAAAAAGAAAAAAAAACAAGAGAAGGACAGTTGAAAGGGTCTATAAAGAAAGGCTATGGGGCCAGGAGGGAGGCATTTCTGCTAAAAATTGAGAAAGCGTGTACTGTCCAGCCCAACGAGGTTGTTGATAAAGATTATGAGGCTTTCTGAGTCCTACCTTCTTTTCCATTGTCTTGGTGTATATGCTTGAATCCCCTGCACATCTGAGGACCCATGCTACTCCACCAGGTTTTTGCAGAAAAGAATACCAAAGAGGGAAGAAAGGAAGAGGAAGGGAGGAAGGGAGGTGAAGGAGGAGAAGAAAAACTCAAGGCTAATGTTCAGCAAGCACTGGTAATTTTAACTTGCATCCCAACCAAGAAAAGCCTAAGGCTCACAAGTGTGTGCTAAGCCCCCCTTCCCCAACCTCCAGGAAGCGTCGTTCATCATCAGCAAGAACTCTAACTGCACATGCCCAATATAGGGCTTTTTTTTTTTTTTTTAAAGCAGGTTTTGAGGTCGCTTAGACTTCGAATAACCTCCAAACCGGGGTGGGGAGGACAGACTGGGAACAGGTAGAAGGGGAAGGGTCTCGAAATAGCTGAAAGAGAGAATAATCCCTGCCTGGCCCGCCCGGCCGATAGGAGTGAGAAGCACAGATCTGAGGAGGTTCCACGCGCGCGCCTAAGGCTGTGGCTGTCGCGATGACGCAGGTGCCTCGCCTGCCCCACCTGCACCGGCTCGGCTAGTGTCGAAAGGGACACCCCAAAAGAGGCGGAGGCCAGCGGGAATTTCTCAAGCCATTTGCGCAGGAAGGGCGACCTTGCGAAGGCACGTCCAGGTCCTGCTACTGGAGCAGGGTTACCACAGAGACGCCCCTCCAGAGGTCACGCCAGTCGAAAACTCGCGTCCAGTAGGTTCCGGATCGCACGCGAGCGTCAGGGGCAGAGCCAAGCCCGCGGCAGACACGCCCCACTCCGGGCGTAGAGCGGCCCGAAGTCCGCCCTGGGCGTCATTTCCGCCCTCATCCTGGGCCTTGATGACTAGAGGGCGGAGCCCCAGCATACGGCGCGTTGTTGTGCATCACTTCCGGAGAGTCCAGCGGCGACAACGGCAACATGGCTCTGAACGGCGCTGGTGAGGACTGGGGCTACCGAGGAGTATTGCTGCGGGGTGCGGGAGGTAACCCGCTCGGGCAAGGCCCCCGGTCCGTTGTGCCTTTCTTCCCCAGAAGTCGACGATTTCTCTTGGGAGCCCCCGACAGAGGCGGAGACGAAGGTGCTGCAGGCGCGACGGGAGCGGCAGGATCGCATCTCCCGGCTCATGGGCGACTACCTGCTACGCGGCTACCGCATGCTGGGCGAGACGTGTGCGGACTGTGGGGTGAGAAGAGACTTGGGCCAGGTCGCACGGCCCTTCCTCAGATCTCTTCTCTGGACCCCATCGCGCGGCGTCTCATCCCTGCCCTTTGTGCTTTCTGGTTCCTAGACGATCCTCCTCCAAGACAAACAGCGGAAAATCTATTGTGTGGCTTGTCAGGAGCTCGACTCAGACGTGGATAAAGATAATCCAGGTGAGGGTTCCTGTGTGCTCATTGGAAAAGCAGTGTAGTAACAGAGGTCTGGGAACAGTAAACCTGGGAGGTGACAGTGGAGTCTGTGGGTGGGCCTAGGTAAAGTGTTTTTTCCTTTCAGTTCTGGAAATGACCGTTTACTCACTAAGCTCTAAGCACATTCTGTGTGCCAGATATTGTGGGGGAGTCTCCATTAGGCACAGCACTGGTGGAGAAAGGACACTCAGCCATAAGTAACTGTGATACAAAGTAGAAAGGGCGAGTAGCCTTTTGGGGCAGGGAAAACATTTCAGACACAAAAAGAGCAGAGCAGTAGAGAAAGGAGGTGGTTCTGGGGTAAGGTGGGCCTGCCATCCTGACTATTCTGCCACTTTCTTACAGCCCTGAATGCTCAGGCTGCGCTCTCCCAAGCTCGGGAGCACCAGCTCTCCTCTGCTTCAGAACTTCCCTCAGGCACTCGGCAGGCCCCTCAGCCCCCAGTACCCCGTCCAGAGCACTGTGAGGGAGCTGCAGCAGGGCTCAAAGCAGCACAGGGGCCTCCCCCTCCTGCGGTGCCTCCGAATGCAGATGTTGTGGCTTGCACACAGGCAGCTCTCCTGCAAAAGCTGACCTGGGCCTCAGCTGAGCTGGGCCCTAGCACCTCCCTGGAGACCAGTATCCAGCTCTGTGGCCTCATCCGGGCATGTGCTGAAGCCCTGCACAGCCTGCAGCAGCTGCAGCACTAAGAGACACCCCTCTTAGAGAAAAACCCTCTAGACAAACAGCTGTTCTTCCGTGTGGTTTGTTTTCTTGGCTCTGAGTGTGCATGCTAGCCCTGCTCCACCCACCCTTTTTCCACCTTTGGCCTCTCATCTTTTCACATCTGCTCTCCCTGATGCTGAGAGATGAGTTGAGCTTGTTTCTACTCTTTGCCCAGTCAGTGGATGCAGAGGGCTATGTGATACTCCCTTTTTGAGGAGGAGGTCATGGCGGTCTCAGAGGTAGAAGCAAGTGGGGTGGACCATTTGTCTCTGGCATCACCCCAGCAGCCTCAGCCATCCAGTGCTCATCGTTCACCTGTGAGTGAAATGTTGGGTTCCAGTTCTGTCACCAGTCCCTCTCTTATCCCTGAGTACCCGGAGTCCATCATCCTGTCCCACTCAAGGCCCACCCCCAGGTACTCAGATCTGACAGGAGGGTGTGGCAGCAGCAGCGTTAGGTTGCACCTGGAGCAGAGTATGGGCGGGGCCCAGTCTCCTGATGCCCGCTTTTAGATACTTTAACCTTGGGAGGGCAATTGTGTAGAACACAGGGTGTGTGTGGGAGGGAGAGGGTAGCAAAATGAACCGCGAAGGAACCACGCCTGCCCCCTTTAGTTTCCTTCCCTCTTTCTGGTCCCTATTCCGTGGATACCCCATTACTTTTTCTCAGCTTTGCGCAACGTGGTCCCACTGCCATTGCCTTTTTAAGAGAGGCTCCGCCCATGCGGTGGGGGTGGGACCGAGGCGGAGTCTGGGGAGCAGGGGAAGGAACAAAGCACGGCCTGCGGGCGGCGGCTGGGCTCGGCCGGCTGGGCCGGGTGCTGCGGGCCTGCGGTAGGCGGCCCGGGCAGAGCGTTAGAAGGAGGGAGGCTGCATCGCCGGCCCGGTCATGAACGGGCTGCCCTCGGCCGAAGCACCAGGCGGTGCGGGCTGAGCCCTGGCCGGGCTCACGCC